CAACATCCATTTTAATTGTCATCATATCTTTGATGTCACAGTTATCCTTTTGTGGTGTCAGAGAAATTGACCATTTCTTTTGTGATTTCAGTCCAGTACTCCAGCTCTCTTGTAGTGACACAACCCACATTAGATTATTAGCTGTTATATTTGGGTCATTTGATATCCTGCCCCCATTTATATTGACTATCATATCTTACGTTTGCATTATTAGTGCTATTTTGAGAATTCCATCCACTACTGGAAGACAAAAAGCATTTGCTACTTGTTCTTCTCATCTTATTGTGGTCACCACTTTCTATGGAACACTAATGATTGTTTACCTACTACCAAACTCTATTGCACTTAAAAAGGTATTTTCAGTCCCATACACCATACTGACTCCCATGGTTAATCCTCTTATATACAGTCTGAGAAATAAAGAAGTGAAGGAATCTTTGAGAAAGACTATAAGGATATTAATTGGGTTCAATGAAAATAACAGATGGCACCCAGTAGCTGTATTTGGACATAACATTAAGTCGTGATCTAAACAAGCCAAAATGTGGATAGTAGAAATTGGGATTGCATGCATGAGGATACAATTCCTTTACTGTTCTGATGGTGTATACATTTAAGGTAAGATTTTTTTTCATGTCAGAAGCAACTTGAGAAATTGCAAGTCACTTCTGGTGTGAGAGAATTAGTCATAGGCAGGGACATTGCCCAGGGAACACCCGAATGCTTTATTATCCTGTGCGGGGCTTCTCTCATGTTCCCGCATGGGAAACTGGAGCTGACAAATGATACCATCATATTTTTGAAATTATTCTGTCTAGACACAAATAATACAGTTTAAATAAAACATATAAAAATGAAGTTTTGGTGAGTTGGATGATTACATATTTTGTGTGTATAGTAATTATACTTTCTGCTAACAATATCTTGGTCATTTGTTTTTTAAATGTGCTTATATGCCCACAACAAACACAATGAAAAAACATACCAGTATTTCTCTTTCAGATGCATACCATTTGATGGAGGTAGAGTCTGGGGTGGAGATTTTAGAGAATACGAGCCATCCCCTGCCACACGTTGCTGTGGCCCAGTCTGGTGATCTGGAAAATAAAGTAACTAGAAAGTGCTGGTTTCTAATATATGTAATTTCTTTATGCTTGTGGATAAACAGTATTTCTTGCTGTTTCTTTGTCAGCGTTGATGTGGAGATTGTCTGGTTGGCCTACTCTGGAACATGCAACATATAATGGTCATTCTTTAGGGGTCCCTTTCAAATCTAGGATACTATATCTGTGTGAGAGAGAGAGTCATATATATCTATCTATATCTATGGTTCTTTGTCAGGAGGATTTTTATTATGTTTTCTTGCCCTGGTAAAGGGAGTTGGACCGGATGTATTTTCTGTTGGTCATGGGGGTTCTGGGTGGGAAGTTTGCTCCAATTCTCTCATTAGTGGTGTTCAGAATGCTCTTTGATTATAGGTAAGTCCCAATAACTACAACTCCCAAATGTCAAGGTCTATTTCCCCCAAACTTCATTTGTGTTCATATTGGGGCATATGGAATATTCGTGCCAAGTTTTGTCTGGATGCTTCTTTGTTTGAGTCCATAGTGCTCTCTGGTTGTAGGTGAACTACAACTCCCAAACTCAAGGTCAATGCCCACCAAACCCTTCTTGTGTTTTCTGTTGGTCATGGGAGTCCTGTGTGCCACATTTGGTTCAATTCCATCATTGGATGGGTTCAGAATGCTCTTGGATTGTAGGTAAATTATAAATCCCAGTAACTACAACTCCCAAATGTCAAGGTCTATTTCCCTCAAACTCCATTTGTGTTTATATTTGGGCATATGCAATATTCGTGCCTAGTTTGGTCCAGATCCATTATTGTTTGAGTCCACAGTACTCTCATGGATAACATGTGAACTTGTATTCTCATCTGCGATTAATTTGACCCAATCTTCCAAACACATTAGCTGCTGCCTATTTTCTTGATCTGTTTTTGGATAATAGTCCCAAACTGACCACAAGCAACTGGCTCCCAATAGCTAAACAGATACCCATGTTAATAACTGGTGACAAATGAAAGTGCCAATTGTCTTAGGAATAAACTATGTATTGGGTTGCTGTGAGTTTTTTTGGACTCTATGGCCATGTTCCAATAACATTCCCTCTTGGCATTTCGTGTGTCCGGTATGTTCAGAGGTCTGTTGGAAATGAGGCCACTGGAGTATATGTATATCTGAAATGTCCAGGATGGGAGAAAGAACCCTTCTCTGTTTGAAATGTGAATGTTGCAATTAACAAGCTTGATTAGCATTGAGTAGCTTTGCAGCTGTAAGGTCATCCAGTGGGGGTATTTGCCAAGAGATAGCCTGGCTGTTGTTTGCCTGGAGGCATCTTTTGTTTAACTGGCACTTGAATGTTTGCTGTCTGGAATTCCCCTCTTAATGTGTGGTGTTCTTTGTTTACTGTCTTGATTCTGGTGCTTTTTTAGTACTGGTAATCAGGTTTTGTTCATTTTCATAGTTTCTGCCTTTCTGTTGAAATTGTTCACATGCTTGTGGATACCAATGGCTTATCTGTGTAGACTGACATGATATTTGTCAGAGTGGTCCAGCATTTCTGTGTTCTCAAATAATATTCTGTGTCCAAGTTGGTTCATCAAGTGCTCTGAAAGCATGAAAAAGAATTATGCTTAAATCTCAAATGCAGAAGAAGCTAGGTTCTTGTGGGTTTTTTAGGGCTATAGGGCCATGTTCTAGAGGCATTTCTCAGGAGAGGATGCTTGCCATAGATGCAGACGAAACGTCAGCATGCTTTTTTGCTGGAGTGCTTTGCTGGAGTCTTTTTTATGGCCCCATAAATTAGTTAATTTAGTCTCCCCACACTTTAAGGTGGTACCTAATTTTCCTACTTGGCAGATGCAACTGTCTTTCGGGTTGCAAAGGTCGACAACAGACTACACAATTGGTTGGAAACCCACTCCAAACCGGGCTGGCTTCGAACTCATGACCTTTTGGTCAGAGCGATCTTAATGCAGCTGACACTCAGCCAGCTGCACCACAATTCCGGTTTCTTGAAAGTCAAGTAACCTTTAACATGATTTGAATAGTTCCTCTTGAAGTAAAAAAAAAGCAGATTTTTAAATAATACTTAATAATCTATATAAATAAAAAATGTAATGTTCGTTTGTGGGATTAATATAACTCGAAAACCATTGGACAAATTGCTGCCAAATTTGGCCACAAGACACCTACCAAACCATGGAGTGACCATCACTCAAAAAAATTGATTTTGTCATTTGGGAGTTGTAGTTGCTGGGATTTATAGTTAACCTACAATCAAAGAGCATTCTGAACTCCACCAATGATGGAATTGAACCAAACTGGCACACAGGACTCCCATGAAGAACAGAAAACACCAGAAGGGTTTGGTTGGCATTGACCTTGAGTTTGGGAGTTGTAGTTCATCTACATCCAGAGAGCACTGTGGACTCAAACAATGATGGATCTGGACCAGGCTTGGCACAAATATTCCATATGCCCAAATATGAACACAGATGGAGTTTGGGGGAAATAGACCTTGACATTTGGAGTTGTAGTCACTGGGATTCACAGTTCACCTACAATCAAAGAGCATTCTGAACCCCACGAACAACAGAATTGGGGCAAACTTCCCACACAGAACCCCCATGACCAAGAGAAAATACTTAAGGCCATCCAGTCCAACTCCCTTCACCAGGGCAAGAAAACGTAATCCTGACAAAGAGCCATCCCATCAGGTAAATGTGCGGATCTCTCTCTCTCTCTCTATATATATATATATATTAGGCCTGGGTAACAACGGAAAAATTTGTTTCTAAAATCGATTCGTTTTTTGGGGTTTTGCGTTTCGATATTTAAAAGAATTCCGAAATTTTTCTTTTAAAAAGTTCGATATTTACGAAATTTCGTAAATGTAAAAAAATTACGAAACATTAACGAAACAAATACGAAACAATAACGAATCGATTCGTTAATGGCGGACGCGACCGCGCAATACGCTAAAAAACCTCCAAATGGGACAGGGGGAACTTCTGAAGCTTCCCTCTCCCTCTGTTGTTGACTGTTGGTGTGATATTATAATTTTTTTTCACTAATTAAACAAAAAAAAAACTATAAAACTTGCCCCAGACATGCGGAAATAATAACGAAACGACCTCAAACCGATAACGAAACGAATACATAACGAATCCGAAGCATTTACGAAACGAATTAAAAAATTCGTTTCGTTTTTAAGTTGCTCCAGAATGGTTCGTTATCGCTTCGTTATAAAAAAAATAACGAATTTTTAACGAATTACGAATTAACGAAACGAAACCGCCCAGCCCTAGTATATATATCTTGTATATACAACTATAAAAATATATATGATTCACACACAAATCTATGTATCATAGATTTGAAAGGGACCCCTAAAGAAGGACAATTATATGTTGCATGTTCCAAAGTAGGCAAACAAGACATCAACACTGACAAAGAAACAGCAAGAAATACTCTTTACCCACAGGCATAAAAATTACATATATTAGAAACCAACACTTTCTCATTACTTTATTTTCCAGATCACCAGACTGGGCCATTGCAACATGTGGCAGGGGACAGCTAATAATAATAATAATAATAATAATAATAATAATAATAACAACAACAACAACAACAACGACAACAACAACACACTTTATTCTTCCCTTCTCCACTAGAGGACTCATAGGTAAACATTCTGTGCCTTTACAATAATAAACAATGGGACAGAAAAACACAAACAATGGCAGAGGCTTCTCCTTTCATTTCTGGCTTTTGGAAGAGGTGCTCATGTCAAGTTCTGGGAAGGTGCTTTTTTCTCAATTTTCAAGCCAGGGAGCCTGTGTTGTTACCTCCTGGCCGGCAAGATTGCCTAAAGTAAGGTATATTTTTAAAAATTTCACTTCAAACAAAATCTGTTTGGTAAATGAAACATTCACTTCATAATAATTTGAAGTGGGAATTTGATTTTCCAAGTATATTTGTCTTTCTGTTCCACTCAGGCCTCAGCACGATAATGTAACATTTAGGGAAAAAGATAAAGCCCAGTAAAGCACTACTGGAACACAAGATTGCAAAAATTTCCACTACCGCCATGAATTTGACATTATTACTTATGTAAGTTGACACAAAGGACAACCAAACAGAGCAAAACACCAGCATGCTGAAGGTGATTAGTTTGGTTTCATTAAAAACCCCAGGCAGCTTTCTGGCCAAGAAGGCTACAATGAAACTGACTTTGGCGAGAAAGCCCATGTAGCCTAGTACAAGATAAAACATGGAAACAGACCCTTCATTACAAAGTAGAATGACATAGTCTTGCCCTGATGGTTTTTCCATATCTGGAAAGGGGGGAGATGTTTCCAACCAAATGCCACAGATTACAACCTGAATAAAAGAGCAGAAGAAAACTATGGAATTTGTCAGCCTTTTCCCTGTCCAATGTTGCCAAGTGCTTCCTGGATTTTTAATCAAAAAAGCTAAGATTACTGTGATAGTTTTTGCCAAGATGGATGAAACAGCAACTGAGAATACAATGCCAAAAAATGTTTGGCGTAGGAGGCAAGAAACCTTACTTGGCTGACCAATGAATGCCAAAGAGCAAAGGAAGCAGAGGAGGAGGGAAAAGAGAAGAATAAAAGTGAGATCATGATTATTGGCTTTCACTATGGGTGTGTCCCGGTACTTGATAAATATTCCTAGAACCAAAACTGTGACAAGGAAAAGAAAACCTGATATAAAAGCTAAAAGAGCTCCCAATGGCTCTTTATATGAAAGGAACACAACCAACTTTGCAATGCATTTATCACGACTGTCACTTGGATACTGATCTTCTGGGCATTTTTCACAGTAATCCATATCTAAAAAAAAAAAAAGAAATATTAATACTGACTTTTATCACAGTCCAAGCAATATAATGTTGCTCATCTGCATTAAAATCTATGTCCTTATAAGAATTAAGAATGCAATTGAATGCTCATAATAAAGTTAAGTAGGCTTCAAATTTATGAACACATTTTCTGCTAGTTTTGGTTTCTGGTCAAGCATTTCTGTGAAGATGAGATTTTCATCAAAACTATCCATTTCACTTCTCCACAGAAACAAAACACATCTTGCTTAAATGTTTGTGGGAGGTGTCACATATTTTGTAATGGAATGATATTTCATAGAATCATAGAATCATAGAGTTGGAAGAGACCGCATGGGGCATCCAGTCCAACCCCCTGCCAAGAAGCAGGAAAATTGCATCCAATTGCATTCAATTCAGATTTGCATGGAGTTTGTTATGTTTTTGGAAAGATAAAATTCATACAATGTGGTTAAAACAAATAGATAGAGATGCACACAACTGAAAAATGTGCAGATATATACTTTAATGAGTGCAGCTTAAATAAATGTGGATGTTTTGGAAAATACATACAGAAAATGCAATGAATGGCCATGTGTGAAGAAAAAAGAAGTTTCACAACATGACACTAACAAAGGATGGCAGGAAAACACTGACACAGTTTAAAACTTACAAAGAAACCAACAAAAGGGTCTTTTATGCCACTAATATTATATGAGAGTTTGAGGTAATTGTTGTGATAATATCTTTTCCTGTAGAGTCAATATATAATGAACATATTGAAAGCATCGAAGAGGAACAACTTGACCAGGGACCACTTTGACCAGGGACCACTCTCCAACATTAGTACCAAAGGGATTACAAATCAGTTTTGGTTAACTTTAGATTCAGTTTGGGGTGCTGATTGAGAAAATTGCATTGGATAGACCAAATCAGCTCTACTTCCTGATACAGAACTATGTCATGGTCAGTGACAGGGAAGGAGTGGCAGATGGTGTGAAATGAGCAGAAATAAATAAAGAAATAAATAAAATAAAGAGGAAGGAGGATTGCAGACCAGATTTTCGTCCTCACGGCCAACTGGTGGTCTGTGGCCCACAGGTTAAGAGCCACTGTTCTAACCTAATGACTAAGGTCAGAAATATATCCTGTAGAACTGAAACTGTTGAAGAAGAAAAATAGATGTGCAGTTCGGTAGAGTAGCAGAGTAACACTGCAAAGTAAATAATGCACTTCAGTGCTGATTTCTAATCAAAGACCCAAAATACAGATAATTGTGATGTTGTATATCAACAAATCCATCATAGCAGTTCTTATCTGTATTAGATGGCTTAATTGTTCACCAGGCCTCACCAATATACATTTGATTTATCTTGGCAGTCAAAGATTTACATCAGGGACACATACCTTTCTGGCTAGAGATTGTTCCTTTTGTACATGGAACGCAATCAAAACAGCATGATAACTTCCCAGATACAAGAGATCTTCTGTATCCAGGGTGGCAACTTTCACTGCACACAGAACTTGGAATCTAAGAACACAACTATCAGTTATTTATATTAAAATTATTAAAATTCATTTTTAACAATACAAGAATAGCACCTAAAGCAAAATATTTATTGAAATGCAACATTAATTTGGTCTGCCATATTGGTCTAAATTTTATTGCTAGTCTCAGCTGAAACAGCCTCACTGATCCATTTAAATGAATAACAACTAGACATCAGTGTTAATTATTTCTAGGTTTTGTAATATGGAAGAAGGTTGGACTACCACAGGTAATCCTCCTGAATCATAGAATCATAAAAGTGGGAGAGACCTTGTGGGCCATGTAGTCCAACCCTCTGCCAAGAAGCAGGAAAATTGCATTCAAAGCACCCTTGACAGATGGCCATCCAGCTTGTGTTTAAAAGTCTCCAAAGAAGAAGGCTTCACCACACTCCGGGGCAGAGAGTTCCACTGCTGAACAGCTCTCACAGTTAGGAAATTCTTCCTAATGTTTAGGCGTTTCATTCATTGGAGGGAATTTTTTTCTGGGAATTGGTATGCAAAATTTCCAGTGTTTAGAGCATGGGCTTTTCTTTAAAGAAAAAGAAATACCAGAATCCACAGAATAAATGGAATAGTTGAATTCAAAGGAAGCCATTTACCATTTGCGTCTTACAGTCTGAACTTAATGTTACTTTTTTATACTTAAAAATATAGATGCGAAAAACAAGGTTATTGACCTGGTTATCTCTGTTGTTCCACACCAGAGATTCGTCATTGATGGTGATGGTGGGACCCATTGCAGCCTGAAGTTCCACACTCCCAACTTGTGTAGCTATTGCAGAATTATTTGGAAATATGACCCAGTTTAATATGTCAAATCCAGATTGCAAATTATGATTCTCATCAAAAGATATTTCTTCACCTGCAGAATTATTAAATCGGATTTGTCTCAGGAAAGAGTGAAGCTAATATGTATGGAGGGAAAGAGAACAAGATGTAATGACAAACACAGTCATACAACCACAAGTTTTCTACAGCTTAACAGATCTACATTTCAAGCAATATTGAGACTATTGTCACATGTCATTGTTATAGAGAGATCAAAAGGAACACTTAATTTTTTATATACCTGGAGGTTTTTTTTCCATAGTAACAGAAAATTGAAAGCTTTGTTAAATGGGAACCCATCAAGAGCTGGAAATATTCTCCATGAGTCTTTTTCGGCTAAAGAGTAGGGAATAAATACCCTAAATAGATAAATAAATAAAGTATAGGACAATGGTAATTTCTATGGAAATATTGCAGCATTTTTCCTTTAGCAACCCTTTATTTTAGGATGTAGTCATGGTGGGAGCTGCAAACTGAGGACATTGCTACTTCATACTGAGGATGGAGCAAGCTGGTTTCTTGGTGCTTTGGGGCCTATGGTTGGCTCCACACTGAAAAATATAATGCTGTTTGATAGCATTTTAACTGACATGGCTTAATGCTATGGAATCATGGCAGTTGTAATTTTACCAAACAGTGCTAATGCCTCACCAAAATACAAATCCTAGAATTAAAAAGCATTGAGTCGTGGCAATTAAAATAGGGAAAAATGTAATTACTGTATATACTTGAATATAAACTGACCCAAATATAAGCTGAGGCACTAAATTTTACCACAAAAAAACTGGGAAAACTTATTGACTCAAGTATAAGCCTAGGGACAAACATGCATATATAGGAACATATTTATATATTTATAGGGCTTGCAAAGACCAGAGAACACTTCCAAGAGAACAAAAATGCATATCTAAATTTAATAAATTTACATACACAGAAATCGAGCTTGCAAAAGATTTCAGGGGGAATGCATATATAAGATGAATATGCATATAGATATATACAGATAACATGGCTTGCAAAGATTTCTAGGGGGGAAATCTATATATTATTTCCAAGCTTTGGAGCATGCATTTGCCCAAGAAAAAACAACATTCCCTTCTCTCTTTTTAATAATAATAACAACAATAATAATTCTTGCAGAATTGCAAGAGTCTTTCTCTCTTTTTCTTCCCCTCCCACCCATGCAATCTTTTTCTTCTTCCTGACTAGCAAGGGCACTCTTCCTGATTTCCTTTTTCAAAATATTCCCTTCTTCTTTTTTCCCTCTCTGTCTTAAAAGAATAAGTTTCCAAAATGGGCAACTCCAGCCTGAGAGGAGAAGCTGAGGGAGGGAGGATTTGGAAAACAAAACACACTGTTAAGGAATGAGAGAGAAATATATCATATATTGTAAGCAATGGCTCGAGCCTTGACCTCATTAAACGGAGGCTTTTTCAGCTGAATAAAGGGCTGAAAAACTTGGCTTAAAATTACAGAAAAAGGGATATTCCCCAAAACATGATGCCCCAGAGTGAGCTGGAGTCTCTGTCCCGTGAGGTTTTAAAGCAGAGGTTTGATAGTAGACTTGTGCATTTTGGCTGAACTTCTATCCGTTTCTGCTGGGAGATTCTCAGATCCATTTTTGCACATGAAAATGGGCAGGTAGCCAAATAGCCATTTTTGGTATGCAGCTGAAAAATGTGGCTAGTCTGGCCCATTGGTGGCAATGGGGGAGGGCTTCCTGGTCTCCCCTTCCCATCATTTTTATGGCTATTGGGATGAAAATGACCATACTTGAAGGACCCATCTACCACTGTTAGCCCACCAAGTTTCATAACTTTTGGATCATCCCCTGATTTTTAGGAATTTCTTTTCTTTTTAGAAATAAAATCTTTTAAAAATCCCCAAATGATATCCCACCACTGGCTCTGCCCTGTGACTTCTCCAGAAGCAGCAGAAGAGCACCATTCCTTCCTGTCAAATTTCATATCACATAGCCCAGTGCCTCACTACTGCACTTTGTTATTTATAAATAAAAAAGAACAGCAAGCAACTCCTTCCAAAGCTTTTGCATTTCTTGTTCTCACAAAACATACTTGAAGAGGCAAGCAGCAACAGCAAGCAAGCATTGTTCCCTTATTAGAAAAACACTCCTGTATGATCCACTGGGGGGGGGGGGGGATCAAAATATAGTTATGTTTGGGGAAAATGTTTTTGAAGCATATTAATTTAAGACTTAATATTTCAGAGCAGGTCATGAGCCTCACTGATTCAGAAAGGCAAGGTAGCAACAGTCCCAAAAAGGTGCAATAGGGGGGCTCAAGGACAAGAGGAGAAGGATGACTTCAGGCCAGGGGCGGAGTGGTTGACTGGCCACCTGCCCTTTCTAAGTCTAACAGCAGACCAGACAAGGAAAAAGGAGCTGGAGGCTTATGTGGAGCAGGCAATGCTGTATCGACAAGAATATTCCCATCACAAGGAAGGTGAGCATGCAAATAATCTTTTGACAGCAAGTGAGTTGGGGGTGGTGGAAATGCTTGGGGTGACAAGTACGACAATAAGGATTTAGATACACTTTGAAAATCTCTCATCTGCTCCATTAAATAAACATAGCTTGCGTAAGACACTTCAAGGCTTCTCCTATTCTGATTTGCCCAACAGGCAGGGCTCACAGGGAAACCCTGTGGGAGCATGCAGCAGCCTCTTTGCATGCCACGTGTTGAATAGGAAAGGAGGAGACATGACCGGCTACTGCATGGCCTGTTTTGGCCAAAAAAAAAACCCCATGGCTGCTGAGCCCTCACCGTTATGGCCAGCTAAACAAGCCAGATTGGTCAAACTGAATCCGTGCACAAGCCTATTGGATAGCCAATTGTTGGGAATGCTATAATTGTGTATTCCTTCATGAGAGGGGGTAGACTTCTTGGGTTTCTTCCAACTCTTATCATTCTATAATTCCAATTAAAATCCCCCCCCCCCCAAAAAAATCCTTCAGTTGTCAGATTTCTTGCATTGCAGTGATGTAAAACTTCAGTTGTGCATTTAGAAATGTAGTTTAGGCAGCCAAAGCTACCAAGGGAATGTAAACAAGCACATTGAAGAATTCTAGAAATTGATGATTTTCATTGGCTCACTTTCCGTGATAACCCCCAGCCCCAACCAAGGAAGGATTTCCCTACTGTGATCTAAAATTTAATTGCTTAGTTAACCACCTCTGTCAGAATTTATTGATAAAACACTTACTTGCCATGCTTGAATTTTAAGGAATTCCAATTTGACATTTCTTTTCTTTTCTGAATGGAGAAAATATATTTTATGTAAAGTGTGAGCTATGACATAAACAGCATTAGAAATACTATAACTGACACTAGATGTGTCCATATTGAACAAATCAATGCTGACATCCTGTAGCTTTTCAGTACCACTACATTTAGGCCAGGTTGGATCCAACACAAAAAAGGACCATGAGCACCGGAAGGTGTGGGCCCAGAAGTTTTTCAGGTAAAAATCATTAGGGTATTGATCAAGATCAATGTCTATAAGAAAATCCCAGAACCCTGGAATCTCATGTTTATGGACTGCTAAGGAGATGGCACCATGTAGTGATGTCAAGTTCCAGTGTTTTCTGCTGAAATGGGAGGTGAAATCCCAAGCTCCAGTTGCAATCCAAACCTTTCCATCCATCTGTTTTACTGATAGAGCAAGATTTAGCAAGATTAGCTGATAGGTCTCTCCATGAACAATCACGACATTGGATGATAATCTGGAAATACTACTGAGCAATTCATTCACGGATTCTTCATGAAATGGACGGTAATTAGGCAAACATGTTATGGACTCAATGCAGGAATTTGTTTTATCCATTTCTTGGGACATCACTCTGATAAAAGTCACTCCATCTTCATTATCTGTAGTGATTAAGCCAACCCACTTCCAGTCAAAATGGACAAGCAAAAGGCTAATGCCAGTGAACTGCATTAATTCATTTGGAACCATTTGGTAGAAGGAAGGAAATTGGGATTTGTCAGTCAATGTTGAGGCAAAGGCACCATAGCTGATCTAAGAAAAAAAATCAGGTCTATTTCTCAAGATGTGTAACTTTTCAGAAACTCACATACACTACACATTAACAGCAATTCCTATCTTAAATATGGAGCTTATGTCAATTGAGTTCAGTATAAACAAAAAAAAAACCTATTAATCCCTTCAGTTCTTCATATTTGCAATGATTTCTGCTGAGACTTGTTAGATATTGGATTAGATTTTCTCATGTACTTATTCCAAACATATCACTTTGTAGAATGGAATGGAATTCTATGCAAAATATACTACAATTCTACCTAAGAGATTATAATCCTAAAATAGAGCTGCAGTGGTGCCATGAATTAAACCTTTGTGCCAGCTGGACTGTTGACCTGAAGGTTGGGTAGCTAACCTGAAGGTCACTGGTTTGAATTCACGAGGCTGGGGTGAGTTCCCCTCTGTCAGCTCTAGCTTGCGAGGACATGAGAGAAGCCTCCCAGCAGGATGGTAACACATCCGGGCATCCCCTGGGCAATGTCTCACAACCTCTGAGGATACCTGCCACAGATGCAGGCAAAACATCAGGAGAGAATGCTTCCAAAACATGGCCATACAGCCCGAAAAACCTACAACAACCCAATGTCTCTATAGATCACCAATTCTCTCATACCGGAAGCAACATGTAGTATGTTCTCAAGTCACTTTGATATGATAAAAAAAACCTGAAATCTTTGACATTACAAGATGAAAAATGCAAAAATAGTTTTTGCCATCACCTGAGAAAAGTATGTTTTGCGAGCAACACCATGTGTGAGGCAAAGGCATACATGAAGTTCAGTCCTGCAGAGAAAGACTGGCTTGTCCAAAGTCACCTATTGAGTTTTCATTTCTGATTGATATACTGGTCACCAGAATCATAGTCCATTATTCAAACTATTATAACTGGCTCTCACAGTGTAAGCCACCCCTGTGTAAGCCAGGAGTCTCTTTTGGGAGATGGTGGAGGGATATAAATAAAATTATTATTATTATTATTATTATTATTATTATTATTATTATTATTATTATTATTGTAGCTCCGTTGTTCACAACACTTTTCTGCATCTAAGGCATTTTTTAAAAAAGAAATTTCTTCTTGCATGGTGCATTTCTAATACCCTTACCTGTGGAATCTTGTATATTGCTAGAACATTTGCTATACTGATGGTTATGTCAGATCGTAGTCCTCCAAGAATTGAAATAAGCCGTTTTCTTACACAGTTGTAGTTAGGAACCCCACTTTTTTTCCCTGAGCTTAAGCATATAGCACCCTGATAAGTTATCTTTGGAAACAAGAAATCTTGACTCATGGAAATTCCAAGTGTGACGTTGGGTAAGAGTGTGACATCTTTGTTAATCTCCTGTATTGTAAACAAGAAGGCTAGGAGGTACTGAAATGTTTTGGGTAATAGGCTGGAATGAAAAATCATTGGTAATATAGTTACAGCAAATATTTATTAAATAGTACATGATATATTAAACAGCGATTGTGAGCAACTATGCAAACTTTTACCTCCCTAAACTTCCTTTATAATCCTGATTCTCATGCTGATCTCTCTCAGTAAGAATTTTTTTTTAAGTGAGGAGGGGGCTGTAGCTTAAAGAGGCATCAATTATGTGCCATATTGCTTTAAGGCTGTGGTGCACAGAATCACTCTCAAAAGCTAGCTTGAATATGCAAGTCAAACTGACAAAATATATTAAGAAAGCCATAATCTAAAATAGATTCAAGGAATGTTGGAATCTGTGTTTCATTGCCATAGGATTCTGTTGTTGTTTTCAGCAAGGAAGTGGCACCACTTCTCTGTTGGACAATATTGCTAATAAAAAGTAGTCTAAACCTAGAGATTAGATGCAACAGTCATCTGTGCTGTCAAAGTACCTGTAATCAGGCTCAGGGAATCCTAAAGCCATTGGGCTCAAGTCAAAATATTTTGCAGTGATTGAAGGTAAATATTTAATTGCCCAAACCTAAAAATTGTGTCTGTGCTTCACTGTTAATGTGACAGATTTTATTTTCCTCTTCTGTCACTAGCAGCACTCTCTTTTTTGAGAACCGTTTGTGAGAGAGAGGAGAAAGAGAAGGGGAATTGAAAATTGAGTTCAAAGAAATAAAGAAACCACGTTCATGTTCTCCCAACCACACTTGTGAAATGACAGATGTTAACATTCTGTTTCCGTTGTTTCATCTACCCCTCAAAGAAACAGAAGAAGGGAAAGGAAAAGAAGAAGAGCTAATGTAGGTAAAGGGAGACTACTTCTTTGTTCTGACTAGTAGACCACACTGTGCCAAGAAATTGGAAAACTAAGGGTGCATCTACACCAGACATGAGCAAATTTTGGCCCTCCAGATGTTTTGAACTTCAACTCCAAGAAATCCCAGCCATTTTATCAGATGTTAAGAATTATGGGAATTAAAGTCCAAAATACTTGAAGGGCCGAAGTTTGCCCATGCCTGATCTACATTGTAGAATTAATATACTTTAACTGCCAGGGCTTAGTGCTATGAAATCAAGGAATTTGCACTTTTTGGCAGAGAAGACTAAAATACAACCCTGTGGTTCCATAGCTTTGAGCCATAGCAGTTGACACATGATATCAAACTGCACATATTCTATAGTGTAGGGAGGGACACTCTAAAATAGCATTTGCTTGTGCAATGAACAGTTTCATGATTTGGTCAAGGTAACTGCTGTATCATCTCTCCGCCATGATCCTGTCCTTAGAGAACTTTATTGCAGAATAGGGATTTGATCCCAGTTTCCTCTAGTGTCATTTCTTTGTATTAGTTTAAAGTCAGACAGCCAATCACTCTACATAAATTATATCCCGAAATGTACTTACATTGCATCCAGTAAATAAGGAGATGGCTTTTCTTCAAAATGCATAGGGTTTTTTTCAATCATTCCAAGAAAATTAGAGAAGATGCCACCAATAATGATATCTCCATCTTCATAATACCCATTGGTTGTAAGTTTTCTCAAAGGACAGGTGTAACATTCAATCTTGATAGAAGGTTGAGATATCATTAGCCACAATACCAGTATCCAGCAGGACATATTGTGGCTAGGAAAACAACATTTCTAAGGGAAAAAAGCATGCTTCCTGCAAGAACCAAAGTTAAGTCTCCTAATAAGAAACATGGAGGAAAAAGGATGAAGCAGACAGAAATGAGAATTAGTGGAACTTGAGATGGCAAATAGGTAGAAAAAAAGTATAAGGTGTATTTGAAAAGATCATACAAAAGCATTAGGATCACAAATAGTTTTGAAATCTTAAAGACATGACTATGGTTTGAATAACAGGCATACACCCCCAAAACAAAAGAAAAAATGGAAATAAATATGTGAAAATATCTGCAGAAGATAACGGAATGAAATAGATACAAACAGCATGTAGAAATAAAGGAAGATTTACTTTGCATCTGGGACTGGATTCACATTTTGGGAGAAATTAGGATACAAAATTCCACACGTACACATAGAAAACATCTCTAATCAAGTTCTTCCAGATTAAGCGTAAAACAAAGTTTTATCCAGCACACACAAAACCAAAATATATATTTATATAAGTACTAAAGAATGGACTTAGTGGCATATTTAAAATTCTTTACTGCAGTGCCACAGGGCTCTCAAGCAAGCAATGAATCTCTTAAGAAATACGTCTATTTATTGGTATGCCTTGAGCAAACCAAGCAAGATGTTGTTCTCAGAAATCTATTGAATTCTCTTCTTTTTCATGATTACAGTAATTCCAGTAATTATTGTTCTTTAGTGCTTGCTGGCAAGAAATGTGTAATTGCCTAAGCAGTTCTATGTCTGAACTCCCCTCCCAAACCACCTCGGCAAAAAAAATAAATTATTTTCTTATTTTTCTGTATCTCCCGATAATGAAGAAAAGCTGTAATAAAACATAATAAAATGATATAAAAGCTCATCAAAATTAAAATAGACACCTCATCATAAAAGTGAGAAACTTAATTTTATGCCTGTCTTTTAATATATGTGTTTTAATGGTCTTATAAACAATGGTCTTATAAACTATGCATTTTAACTGTATTGTACCCCATCTTCAGCCTTGAGGAGAGGCAAATAACAAATAAATAGTTGTTGTTGTTGTTGTTGTTGTTGTTGTTGTTAGTATTATTATTCACTGAGATCAATAACAGTGCTTTGAAGGCAAATAAGTATGTGAATGTGTGATGAAAGTGGGTGGGTGAGAGAACCTATAGCTGAAATCCTACAGTTGGCCTTAACTTAGGTCCCATCTACATTGAAGATTTAATGTAATTTGAAGCTTCAAACTGCAGTAGCCAGACAGTAAAACTCTCACACAACCACGTGAAAGAAAGCCCTTAATGCACATCAGGGTGCTTCCAAACAGCTCTCAAAATGTGCAAGCTCCCATGTTTTTACCTGGGGCGTCCAAACAATGCATCAGGTAAAAGCAAATTAATTTGGCAAGTTGAAAGACCCAGGTCTTTCCAGCTGGGGACCCTGTGTGGATTGAGCCCGGGGATTCGCAACACACAACTTCCACACAGCCGCATCAGGATTTCTGAGCTCCTGGAGCCTGGAAAGCCCCAAACAATCCCCTTCCCAAAACCCCTTGAAAAGCATTAAAAACTAAAAATTACTCACCTGGCCTCCATTACTCTGCTACTGGGTGTGTAGAAATGGTGCCAGGAGAAGGGGGGGGGAGCAATTTTCCTCCTGCCCTCCTCCTGGCATGTCATTTCTATGCACCAGGAGAGAGCTGACAGCAGAGTAATGCCAGCCGGGTAAGTAATTTTTACTTTTAAAGACTTTTCTGGGGGATTTTTCTTGCTGTCTGGGGGCCATGCCAGAAGCCCAGTCAGGAAATCTGAACAACCTGCCCCAGGAAATCATGGGGACAGTGTGTGGAGAGAGGTCTGGATCAGACCAAACCTTTCCCCATGTGGAACCGGCCTCAGTTCTCTGTGGTTTATGTAATCATAATCTGGGCCTCCAACTGGAACCATTACATCTGCACAGAAAATCTGCTTTCTTTAATATCAGTTTGAATTAAAATTGCATTAAATGGTCATTAGAGATGTGGCCTCAAGTTGACCATTTTTTAAAATTATTTTACTCTAGTGTAACCGTGTCAAACTCATTTTCATCAAGGGCCACATCAGCCTTATGGTTGCCTTCAAATGGCCATTGAATCCATAGATTCAGAATTCATAGATACAGAGGGCAAAGTATAATTTTTCTACATAATGGTCTGTGCTCTTTAGTTTTTACCCAGGTTCGGTCCCCTGATGTTACTGAACAACTCCCATCATTTTTGAATTATAGAATGTTCCATCCCCAACTTGCAGCAACTGTGGGGCAGAGTTTCCATGGTCCAACCAGTCAAAGACATTTCAGGCCAGGTAGACAACTTTTCCTGTTGCTTCTGTTGCTCCTTCCACCATAACAATGAGCACAGAGCTCCAGAGAGATCAGTCTCTGGGTGCTTTTACTGACAGCAGCAAAGGCACCAAAGTGACCAAAGGAGAGCAACTGCAGCAACATGTATAGTAGTGACTGTGAGGCCCCTGCTTACTCCACTTTCTCCTGGGATGTGGAGTGAGACAGGAGAGACTTTTGCTCTACTGATAGAAGTACAGTAACAACTAGGCCTGGGTAACAACGGAAAAATTTGTTTCTAAAATCGATTTGTATTTGGGGGTTTTTTTTGTTTTGATATTTAAAATAATTACAAAATTTTCCCTTAAAAAAGTTCGGTATTTACGAAATTTCGTAAATGTGAAAAAAATTACAAAACATTAACGAATCGATTTCCGAAACAATAACGAATCGATTCGTTAATGGCGGACGTGACCGCGAAATACGCTAAAAAACCTCCAAAAACTTCTGAAGCTTCCCTCTCCCTCTGTTGTTGACTGTTGGTGTGATATTATAATTTTTTTTCACTAATTAAACAAAAAACTTGCCCCAGACATGCGGAAATAATAACGAAACGACCTCAGAACAATAATGAAACGAATACAATAACAAAATACGAAGCATTTACAAAACGTGTTTAAAAATTCGTTTTTTTAAAAACTTGCTCCAGAATGGTTCGTTATCGTTTTGTAATTGGAAAAAATAATGAATTATTAATGAATTACGAATTAACGAAACGAAACCGCCCAGCCCTAGTAACAACCATGAGAAAAGAGACCAAGATGGACTAAAGTGGCAGCACTGACCTCTATTTTACAGCTATTGCTGTTCAGTAATACCACCATATTACCAAGAGCTAAGTCACCATCTTCTCTGCTCTTCTTCTCCTCTCACTCCACAGAAAAGAGCCGAGTGGGAAAAAAATGGATTGGGTGTTACAATACCCCATGGTGCTGCCCTAAACATATTCAAGGCTTTGGTGTTAATGCACAATAACATTCTACTACATAACTGGTGCATTTAGGGATCCAAACTGATGCAGTAAGAAGTTTGAAAAGCTTGATCTGGCCATGGTAGTACACGCCTTAGTCACATCCAGATTAGATTATTGCGCTCTATGAGGGGCTGCCCACATAGAGCGCAATATTTCAACTGATCCAAAGACCAGCGGCTAGACTGCTTACAGGGGCAGGATATAAAGAAAGAACTACTCCACTCCTGTAGCAACTACACTGGCTTCCAGTTTGTTTCTGAGTGCAATTCAAATTGCTGGTTTTAGTCTAGAAAGTCCTAAACGGTACATGCTCAGCCTACTTGAGATACCACATCTCTTCCTACAAGCCCACCCAAGCCCTGAGATCATCAGGACAAGCCCTTCTCTCAGTGCCACCACCATTGCAAGCACAGTTGGTGGGAATGAGACATATGGTCTTTTCGGTGGTGATCCCACAGCTCTGAAACTCCCTTCCTAGAGAAGTACAATTGGCCCTCTATTTGCTGGCCTTTTGATCACAAATTAAGACCTTTTTGTGGAGCCAGGCCACCGCCAGACAGTTGCTGGTAATATTTATTTCTGAATTCTATTTTGGACCTGAAAATTGCGACATGGCCTTATGAAAATGAAATTTATTGGGATATTGTATAAATTCTTTTACAAATAACCTCAGTGGCCTGAGGTTAGGGATTTTTTAATGTTATTTGTTGTAAGTTATTAATTTGTTGTATATGATGGAGGAAAATTGGGTTATTTGCTTTAAAATGTGTTATGATTTTTGTTGAATGTGTATTTTATGTATTTTTGTGTGTTTTTAAACTATTGTATGACACTTTGAATAACACCCATGGGAGAAAAGCAGAAAAAAAAATGAAAGAAGAGGAGGAGGAGGAGGAGGAGGAGGAGGAGGAGGAGGAGGAGGAGGAGGAGGGGGGAGGAGGAGGCTATAAATGATGAGGTATTCATTCTATAATGTTAGTCTTCAAACCTTTTGAGATGGCTGGGACAATAACATGTAAACATCTGGATCCTTTTGCAGTTTGTTGGAGATGTCACTGTGAATTGAGTGTTTATTCCCTTGCTAGCTTTATTCTTCAAATTCCTCTTGCATTTGAAGTTGGGGAATATTACATCATCCAAGCTATCAAGTGGAATTTAGTAATGAGAACTCACTAGGTTTATATAGCCTGTGTTTTCCAGTGATATGGAAAGTCAAGATGATCAAAGAAGGGCTTCACTTCATCAGAGATGCCTTATAATCTTTCCATGGTATGTGAGAATTGCCTTTTATATTTGATAATCCAGTGACTCATCATCTTTACATGAATTTAAAAAAAGAAAAAGCTTCACAGGTCTCAGACATGAAATCAAGAAAGTGTTCTGGAGTTACTATTTGTGCCATCATGGACAGCATCACTGGTAGATTAAATCAACCATAATCCACCATGAAGGTCTTCTCTTTTCACAAGCCATATTGAAATGAACGGGTACTGTGCATGAGGGTTGCAATCACTGTGGGGTTCCACAGTCCAACTGCACGGTAGTTTCCATTTCAGGATTCTGTTTTGGCACATATTGAGTGACAACATATATTTCTTGAACTATGTAAACTTTACATATAATTAAAATATGGTGATTGCCTTTTGACTGTTGATCAGAGACAAAACACATTAGATTCTAGAAGAGCTTGTGGTAACACTTGTCTTGCCTTTTTATCCAAGGATCTTATAGCAATGCTGTGATGTAGATTTTGAGAGAAAAGATTGATTACCCTAGAAACCTCTTAAATGAATGGTGATGCCACGTCTAAGCTCAAGACTTAAGCCTGTCTTTTTCTTAAACAGCTTTTGAAACTTTATCTAAGCCTCCAATCTCCCCATGTAAATTGTTCTTTGAATTTCATATCTATAGTGCCACTACTAAGGTATATCCTTTGGAAGAGATAAAGTGGGGGATAAATAAATCTAGTAATATATTATCATTTGTAGAATAACTGTGTTTTCCTAAGATCTGATTAATAGAAAATAACTATGATATTTTTGGCTATCAATGCAGTGGACAACAGGCTATTAATGTCAAAATTCAGTCAATGGGTACAAGGCTTCCATCGCATTGTATCTTGGAGATTATCGGGAGCAGAAAGTGATCTTTGGTATGAAAACTGATGTTCTTATGTGTGAAATGACTCAAGAGTTCGTATTTGTTTACATATCTTAATTCTACTAAAAAAATGACATTATAAAATTTTTCATGGTTTAAAACATATTATCAAAGAAAAATGGAGAATCAGACACAGATTACTCACTTCATACTACTGGGTCTAACAACTCAACAGGAGCTTCAGAAACTTCTCTTTGTCCTCTTCTTACTCCTCTATTTAGTGACTGTTCTGGGCAATGGAACTATTGTATGTGTAGTGTGGACAGAGATCCAACTTCATACTCCTATGTATTTCTTTCTCAGTAATCTCTCTTGCCTGGATATTTGCTATTCTACAGTTATCCTTCCTAAAATACTATCTGGTTTATTTCTTGCCCATCAAAGAATATCCTTTGTTGGATGCATTACTCAGCTCCATTTCTTCCATTTTCTAGGTAGCAGTGAAGCTCTTCTTCTAGCTGCCATGGCTTATGACCGCTATGTGGCTATATGCAACCCACTGCACTATCCAGTCATCATGTCCAGACAGATATGTCTTCTACTGGCAGCTACCATTTGGGCCATGGGGTTCTTTCATGCTCTGATGCATGCAATAATGACATCCAAAGTTCATTTCTGTGGTCCCAATGTCATTGAGCATTTCTTTTGTGATATTAAGCCACTACTGAGATTGGCCTGCAGCAACACGAGGGTCAATCTCAGCCTTCTCAACATTGTCACAGGTTCACTTGTAATGGCTGCTTTTCTCTTTACACTCCTTTCATATATCTACATTATCTCTTTCCTTATACTAAAGGTCAAATCACATAGCAGAAGATGGAAGTCTTTCTCCACCTGTAGCACCCATCTCACAGTTGTATGTTTGCTCTATGTACCCGTTTTGTTCAACTACATCCCACCCTCTTCAGGAGACTCTCCACAGAAGGACATGATAGCCACTCTCATGTACAGTGTCATTACCTCTGTCTTGAATCCCTTGATCTATACCCTAAGGAACCAGGATATGAAATCAGCCATCAGGAAAACTGTCCACAGAGTAGTGATATCTATAAAGAGGTAAACAACATCATGAAATCTACTTCATGGTTTGGAATGCTGTTCTTGGTATGTATCAAGATTTTGGTTTTTAGAATGTGAAGGTGGATATGATCATTTTTCATATAATTCCTACCCACAAGAATTATAACATTATCGTTCTCTTTCACAAGATTCATTTACATGTGATATTTTATGAGACATTCGGTTTGTAGGATTTGGACTTTCTTGACTTGAAGCTAGGTCTAGATCTACCAATTCCCAAACTATATTGTTTTCCAAGAGGGGATGAATGAGAGAATTCAGCAACATATTCTGGAGGAGACATAACTATTCCCCCATTGATTTTATTGGGAGGAATTGATTTTTAAAACTTTTTTCATATAGATTGTGTGAGTTTGCAGGACTTCCATTCAGGCAGTGAACCCATCACTTCACCCTCCCCAATCTCACGTTGTATTATACTTACTAAAGTTTACAATTGATCAATTGAAATCAATGTGATGATAGCTTGTAATATATGCCAGCAAATGAAAACATGTTGCATTGATTGTGATTAGTGTATTCTAATGATAATCATTTATTTTAATGTGTAAGATTTAGAACTGACCTTTGATATATGGAGCTATATTCCTGTTTAGAAGGATCAAACTATTGTAAATGTCCATGAAATCAGTGCAGAAAAGATAAGAATTCCAAACTTATCATGGTGCACTGGATCTAGATTGAGTCATGCCTAAAACAGACCTCCAAAACTCAGATGACTCATTGATTTTAAGACAGTGTAAGATATAATCTAATCAAACTGCATGAAGAAGTGACACATTTAAATTGCCCTTTGGTCATCATAATTTATCTGGAGCCCCCGGTGGCGCAGTGGGTTAAACCCCTGTGCCAGCAGGACTGAAGACCGACAGGTCACAGGTTCGAATCCAGGGAGAGCGCAGATGAGCTCCTTCTATCAGCTCTAGCTCTCCATGTGGGGACATGAGAGCAGCCTCCCACAAGGGAGGTAAAACATCAAAACATCCAGGCATCCCCTGGGCAACGTCCTTGCAGACAGCCAATTCTCTCACACCAGAAGTGACCTGAAGTTACTCAAGTCACTCCTGACACGACCAAAAATCACAATTTATTAAATGTTTTTAATTTTAAATTTGCAATAAAAGTCTTTACATATAATATATACATATATAAATACACACAAGCACACTATATTTCCCTTTGAAACATATCTATGTCTATATATATTGCTAATGCATTTGAGAGAGAGGTGTATGTGTGCTTTTGTGTGTTCTGCAGTAGTGAATCTTAAACCATTTTAAGACAGTAGAAAGACAAATAAGGCTGAATTCAATGTTGATCCTATCTAACCATATAAAAGTCAAAGGGAATGAGGAGAAAAGGGAGATACATTTTCTGTGTTTCCTGGAAAGAAAATCTAGCAATTGGAGGCATTCCATGCAAAATTCACATGTGGTTGATGTGCATTGAAAACAACTTTCTTTTTTTCCTCTTTGTCTGCAGGAAACACTGTAATTTTGTATGGAAAATTAATATTTCCATACAAAAAAAGTCTTCTTCTTCATATTAAATGCTGTTTTGTATTATATAAATGCTCTTTCTTTGGAGGCTTTTAAGCAGAGGCTGGATGGCCATCTGTCAGGAATGCTTTGAATGCAATTCCTCCTTCTTGGCAGGGGGTTGGACTGGATGGCCGACAAGATCGCTTCCAACTCTGATTCTATAATTCAAAGCAATTATGTGTGACCACGATGGAATAAGTTCTGATTTGGCAAAGAACCTGTATGGAATTAAAGTCTTTCTCACAGAAAAAAGAAAATTGTGAATATTGTTTACTACTTTCGTTGAGAAGAAAGTTACTTAAGAATTATGTCCCTACTGCTGTCATGGAGGATAGGGGCAGACCCGATGGTTTTAGCATATGTGACTGTACATTTCTACACAGTAAACAATATGCTTACTGCATGGGGGGGGGGGGCAACATTTTCTACATGCAAATAATATTTCAACTATTAAATATGAATTCCTAAGCAAAAAGTTTTGTAATTGGGGATTTCATTAACTTAACATTCATATGTTTTGCACAGGAAACAGCATTTTTGTGCATGGAAATGTTAATGCTGTTTTCAAAATACTTTGAAAATTAAAATCCTATTGAAACCTAAACATTCTCTTCTTAGACCATTGTTTGATCAGAATGAGACAAAATATGGATGAATACTTCTATATATGATAACTACAGCTAGGTCGCTATGTGCAGTAAGATGGAAAAATATGGATTTATCTACATGAACTGACTATTTTAATTGTTTTTAATTGAATTTTTAAATACTATTTATATTTAATTGTGTTTTAATGTTTGCATGTGTGTGTATTTTAAATGGTATGCCAAAGTTTTTATGATAAGCCACTGAGTCTCCTTCAGGAGAGATAAAGTGGGGTATAATAATAATAATTGTACTATTTTGCTAAAATTGACAAATTGATAACTTTAATGAATGAAAAGACAATGGGCAAGTATAAAAAAGAAGAGTGGAGTTTAGTGACTATATGAGTGAAGCATAGTTTTTTTGTTTTTAAATGACTGTTAAATATATTAATAAATAAATATAATGTAAAGTAGTAATGGTTGATAACTTACAATTATAAACAGGCAAGTGGTAATTCATATATATTCCTATGTTATTTAGGGGATTTTGGTATATATAATGTAATAGCAAAAGTTATGAAAATTATAGTAGTAAAATCTTTGTATGTATGAAAGTTTGTGTGGTTTCCTTTTTACTTTTTTTCCATTTTATATGTAGTGTATACTTTTAGCATAGTGGTATTTTGCAGTACCTGGTTGTATTTGTACCAACTTACTTGGGGAAACTGCAGTTGCTTTGGAGATGTTCTCAATCTTTACTCCTAGGATCTGCACTTTCCCCAGAAAATGCTACACTATTTTGATGAAGCTTGAAGGAAGATGAGAAGACAGACTTAAAAGGATAAAATTTCTGTGGTTGAATCCCATTAAAGTGTATTATTACAGGTCTCATCAATTACAGTAGTGTGGGTACAGGACATTATATTGGAAATATTTCCATATTTTTTCTACCTGAAATACTAGGAGAAACTCTACTTGGGACAAAATCCCCACCCCCACCCCAATTATGAAATTATGAAATTCTTTTATAGGTATCTGCAAAACTGGAGGTCGTAAAAATTCAAAAATATATGTTGGTTTTACAATAAATTTGTGTTCTAGATCCAAAAGTGACCTCAGGTTTGCTCCATCAAGTACACTTTTTCCTCAACTCATTTTGATGTTTTTATGGTTTGAGTCCCCCTTTGGGGGTAGAAGGGTGGGGTAAAAGTGCATGCAATAAATAAATATGTTGTCATGTGTGTCTAAATAAATACAGTAAGTGCTAAAATAATTAATGAAGTTTTTGAAAGAGGTGTATGTGTGTGTTATATTTTTATTGTGTTTTTTTATTCTGCACCCAAAGATACACAAAAATTAATTACAATATTGAAAAAAAATATTCTTCACTCCAGCTGGATACATATATGCATATATTGATATGCATTTTTCCAGTGACAATAATTTGATCGTTGTATTACACATATAGATTCAAAGTAAATATCATTATAAGCCATTTAGCAACACACTAACAACTTTGGATATAGATTATTTGTATGCCTTCTTCCCTCAGAAAACAGGTTCAGATCCGATGATATGATTACCTGTTTCTGAGGTTTTCTTGCTCTCTGTATGGTAATTTGATTACCTTTTATCCAGGATTTCTTCATCATTCCACTAACAGATTGTACCCACAATTTAATTTGCACAGCCAAGCCCTATAGTACAACTACATTTAGGATTGCAACATGTACCTTTTCTTTCTAAATAAAAGGCAAGCTTCTACTTGCTTTCATTGCATATATGATATGGTATCCTTCTAAACATAATGGAGATATGCCTGGTTACTCTTCTCTCCTTGGTAGACCTGGAATAGTAATTGGAATCTAGAGGAAAAAGTTCTCACCAATTATTGGGCTCAAAGCAATTTAACCTCTTACTTAACTTCCAGATGCTGTATACCCAAGGGGATTGACTATATCTATGGAATATACTTCCTAATGGGCATTTTTTTAAAAAAGCACCCCCAAACTATGCAGAGAAGCTATTGCTCTCATGTACATACATAAAGCCTTTTGTCTAGCCAAGAATAAGAAAAAAATAAAATAAGATTCTGGGGTTTGTGCTTGGGAAACTGTACAGAATGTTGTTCTTTTGTGGCTTCAAACTGAAGGCAATCCTATCATAAGATTTTCAAGACAAGTTTTACCCAAAGAAGATTTTCTATGGCATTACTAAGAGGTATGACTTTTAAACAATCGATTAGGGAGTCTTAATATGGTTTCCCAGAGGACAACAGACATATCACTGCACCATGGCGGCTCTCACTGTACAATATACTTCTAATGTTTACCATGTTGACTCACTAAGGGTACCTCCAGACAGCCCTTTATCCCAGGAACATTTGTGCTTTAAAAACACAAAAGTTCCCAGGTCCTCATTCACACACACCAGAAAGTGCATGGTTTCTGCGTTGGGTGTCCAGATGTTATCCCAGAACTTTCCAGGAGAATTCCCAGACATGCTAACCCTCTTCCCAAAAGTCCCAAAAACTCTTTAAAATTTAAAGAACTTACCTGGCCCCCATTTGTGTGGCACTCTCCTGGCACGTAAGAATGGCATGCCAGGAGAAGGACTTTTGGGGAGGAGGTTTGTATTCTCATGGTTTAGCCTGGATAACTGTGGAACTACTGTCTGAACTGCCCTCTCATAGAATCATAGAATCAAAGAGTTGGAAGAGACCTCATGGGCCATCCAGTCCAACCCCCTGCCAAGAAGCAGGAATATTGCATTCAAATCACCCCTGACAGATGGCCATCCAGCCTCTGTTTAAAAGCTTCCAAAGAAGGAGCCTCCACCACACCCCGAGGCAGAGAGTTCCACTGCTGAACGGCTCTCACTGTCAGGAAGTTCTTCCTCATGTTCAGATGGAATCTCCTCTCTTGTAGTTTGAAGCCATTGTTCCACGTCCTAGTCTCCAGGGCAGCAGAAAACAAGTTTACTCCCGCCTCCCTGTGGCTTCCTCTCACATATTTATACATGGCTATCATATCTCCTTTCAGCCTTCTCTTCTTTAGGCTAAACATGCCCAGCTCCTTAAGCCGCTCCTCATAGGGCTTGTTCTCCAGACCCTTGATCATCTTAATCGCCCTCTTCTGGACACATTCCAGCTTGACAATATCTCTCTTGAATTGTGGTGCCCAGAATTGGACGCAATATTCTAGGTGTGGTCTAACCAAAGCAGAATAGAGGGGTAGCATGATTTCCCTGGACCTAGACACTATGCTCCTATTGATGCAGGCCAAAATCCCATTGGATTTTCAGAACTCTCAAAAGCCAAGAAGTTTTTAGGGGGTCAATACAGACAGCGGAAGTACTGAGTTTATCCCAAGCCATCCAAAAACACATGGAATAAACTCACTAACAAATTAATTCGCAATAAATCAGGGTTTCTCAGGGACGTCATCTGGACAGGGGCCGTCTGGTTTTGCCCTAAGTCAACTAAATAACTCATCTAATACTACAGTTCTGAACTGAGAATTAAATTAGTTTCTTTTGAGCCTTACAAATTTCTTAAATTCATCTTTCACTTCTTTGTTCCTTAGACAGTAGATAATGGGATTGAGAACAGGAGTGATCACAGTGTATTGTACAGCTATAATTTTGTCAATGTCCAAGTACATGGATATAGGTCTGACATAGGTGTAGATTGCTGAGCTGTAGAAAAGAGTCACCACCATGACATGGGAAGAACAGGTGGAGAAAGCCTTCTTCTTCCCTTGTACAGAAGGTATCTTCAGGATGGAGGAAACAATGTAGACATAGGAGACTAGAGTCAATAAGAAGCAACCAAATCCTAAGAAGATATCTGTCACCAGCATGAGGTATCGGTTGAATGTTGTGTCAGTACAAGAAAGTAGTAACAGAGGAGGCAGTTCACAAAAAAAGTGATTGATAGTCCTAGGTCCACAGAAGGACAAGCGCAGGAGGGAAAGAACATGAATGTTTGCAAGGAGAACACCACATACCCATATCACAATCACCAAATAATTACAGACTTTCCTGTTCATAATGACAGTATAACGTAAAGGATGACAGATGGCTACATAGCGATCAAAAGCCATTACAACCAGAAGTAAGAGTTCAGATCCCAGGAAAATGACAAAGAAATATGCCTGTGTGAAGCAGCCTTGCACAGATATGGTCTTCTTATTCATTAAATTCCTCATTGTCGGGGGAACAATTACACTAATACAGCAAATGTCCAAAAGAGAGAGGTTGACCAAGAAAAAATACATGGGAGTATGAAGAGTAGAACACAGACTAATTAAAGTGATAATAGAAATGTTACCTGCCAGAGCTGCAGTATAAGCTGATCCAAAGGTTATAAATAGAATAAGCTGTGCTGAGGAGTTGCTAGAAAAACCTATTAGGATAAATTCTGTCACAGTGCTTTGATTATTTATTTCCATCTTTACATACAGTTCTGTTCATACTGGGAGAATAAACTAATTCGAAAGGTTAGTTGATCAACATATTTGTCCTCCTAGGAGAAGATCACTTGGTGATAAAATGTCTTATTCTGTGAGGTGCTTCAAATGAAGAAGATAGTTCAACTAAATTATGAAAGCATGCACTGGTTGTAGGGTGTACATGGATTGTGCTGTAACTTCAGTGCATGATTTAATGTAACTTTCATTTCAATCAAGAATGCTGAACATTTTGGTGACCAAAGCTAATGAGAAAATGTCTCCTTCAATTTCATTCCCCATCCAAAAGTTGAATTGATCACTGTAAAAAAATAAGAGCAGGTTATTTGGTACACACAGGGCTGTCCTCCAACAGAAAACAGAAACAGTTGTGGATTACAGAAGGAATAAGCAGAATACTATCACAGTTGCTCCCTATTTCTGACACCTGATACAGGTGCCTCACTCTGCCCCATTTGTTGGGTCAGTCTTGGTTAGAAAAAAACTCATTTGTTGGGGTGCTATCAAAGCAAGCATTTTGATGAACAGTTGAATCAACATGACAAAGAACTATTTTGCTGGCTATGGGTGGCCAGGATATGAAATACATCCTTCGTTTTCCCCCCTGTGGAATAAGTTTTAGTGACTTCAAGAGCAAAAACTGAATTTGACATACCAATTCATCCTCTAATGGGTTATATTACAGTAAATAATGGATCAATTTGCAGAAATTGGACTTTGTTCATTAGCTCCAGCTAAAGATATTTGGGATTAGAATGAAATAGATTAAGTGCCCTCCCCAAATTGCTCCAAAGTGACTCTGCAATTTTCTAAGGGTACATTTACACAGTAGAATTAATAGTTTGATACTATTTTAACTGCCTTGGTTCAATGTTATGAAATTATGGGAGTGATAGTTTGAGGAGATATCAGTATTCCTTAGTAGAAAAAGCTGAAGACATTGTAAAACTACAACTCCCATGATTTCACAGTATTCAGCCATGTCAATTAAAGTAGTTTCAGACTGCATTGATTCTAAAGTACAGCTGCTCTCCAAAATTTCATGAATACTTTAGAAGGACATACCAATGATAGCAGAGAAGGAGATGCAGCACCACAAGCAGTTTGAGGATCCCAGATATTGGGAATGGGAAATCCGTTTGGGGTCTTAACCAGTGCTCTTCCTACAACTGCTCCAAGTTGAATGGGTCCATGATGGCAATACTGTATGTTTTTCAAGCAAAGCAAATATCAGAGTGGAATAACAAAAAGGCTGTGGGTTTTTTTTGTTTTTTTTTTGTTTTTTTAAAAAATGACGTCTTACTTTCCTTCTACACACAATATTTTTGAAAGTAATACAGAAGAAGCAAATGCTAGACAGCCCCTATATTTTCATTACTTGTGAAAGCAGAAGCAGTACTCAAGGCTTCCAGGGGTGGCTTGAAAGCCAACACTTACTATCATAGATTGGAAAGAGACCACAAGGGCCACCCAGTCCAACCCACTGACATGCAAAAATGCACAATCAAAGCACTTCTGACTTATTGAAACATAATCATTTCTTGTTGAAGATTAGAAAATTACAAATATTTTTGTCACCCTGATCTGTGCCCATTTCTGCCTCTTCTGGGAAATGCTTTTTGTCACCAATAGATGATCAAGTTCTGAATAAATCCACTCATTCCTCACAAAGGTTAGTCAAAGTCTGCCAGCACTTTATATACTAATCGGTTGTCATTACAATTTTCACTCACCTCTACATTACTTTCTCAGGCATCCTTATTTTGAAACCAGCTTTGATGATGTTCATTTTTTCCAACTTGGAACCTGTTTGGAATTATAGCCATTAAAAGGACAGAGAAGAGTTTCAACACAGTCTGTATTGTTATTGTTATGTGCCCTCAAGTTATTTCTAACCGATGGCAATCCTAAGGCAAACTAATGGTTTTCCTAGCAAAATTTCTTTAGAAGCCACTTGCCTTTACCTACCACTGTTGCTGGGAGAGTGTGACTTGCTCACTAATGATATGAAAGAGCAGAACTCTTAAAATCCTTTTCAGCTTATATCTCTTCAGTCCATTTGCAAAGTTGACCTGTACAAAACAGAATATGCAAGAGGAAATAACAAAGTTTCAATCTAAGTGAGTTTACCAAACCTGTACATATCTTCCAATCAATTAAAGATAAATAACAGTTTTTCTCAGTGCTTACAACTCATCTGATGCAACATCAAGAATCACTGACAGAATGGTGCTTTCCAGACACAATTTGACTCTCATGATTCATGTCCCCGGTGAAATCTGAATCCCATTCCAGATAAACCGGATTAGGCCTGCTTGAACACACATGAGAATGGAAGGAAGGTGCACACAGAGTAATTTTAGTATGCATATTTTTAGTATGTGTATTACACGAAGATTGTTCCCAGAGGTCCAGGAGCATTAATCTACTACTTCACAACTAAGAGTTTTGTAGTCCAAAAATGTGTTCTATTTTCAGCTCCTGGGGACTATTTTCAATTTGAATTAACATATTTGTGGGTTATTATCTTCTGTGAACAGAAGAATTTTATAATTCTATGGAAGAGGGAAATGGGGGCATATGGCAGGGAAATGTCAGAATCACTAACTGTAATAGCTATAAATGTTATAGTAGAAACTGAACCTCCATCCAGATTTTATTTAAATTGAAATCCTACCAGGTAGCATAACCCAAAGAATTATGGTATTTTGAAGAGCAATATGATTTGGATAGCTACACCAAATTCGTGAAAGTTAGTGTTCACAATGTTATGTGTTTTCAGCTCTGCAAGAACCTGGGCCTCAATTAAAAATAAGCCCAAGCAGGGTGAACGTAAGAATCAGAGACTTTATTCACTTAGGCCAAAAGTGGATGTCAGGGAAAAAGCACTCTCAAATTAGACATAGAGGCAATGAAAGACATTAATAGAGACTTAACAGCTATTGAAATAATTGACTTCTTCCACTTTGAGAACTGATTGGTGCAAGTTACAGTATGTGTGCTGGTAGAGGTGTGTCATCTGCCACTACAGTCGATTGGTTTCCTTGTCTGGGGGGAATTTTAATAATTTTAATACTGTTATTGATTGAAGCTTGTGGCTGTTTCTGGGTCTGCCTTCAGTGGGTACATAGAAAAAGAAATGTGGGCAGGGTTCGGGCTCATGCGTGTTGATGGTTCTAATCCTGTCCGATAGCATCTGACAAGAAGTCTGGGCTTGGATAACAACCATCAAAATACCTTGATGGACCCCAAGGGAGAAAGTTTTGTGACTTCATGACCTTTCCAGTTGACCAGGTATTAATTCATTGTTGAGTGTGTTTATTATTAGTTAGGAAGGGGTGGTGATGGAGCAATTCTGCCAGATGTCTGAAGGAGCAATGGGATTAGGATTAGTCCTGGTGGGTGCTTGTTCCACCATGTATTTGGAGAAAAAAAATTGCATTTAGGTGTCAGCCAGGGTGTGTTTCTGGAGGAAAGGTTGACTTTGGACATCAGCCACTGGGACCTTTCATGGCACCTTTCTGAGCCATAGGTTTTGGGGATCCTTTAGTTTTGCTAACAATTACATTAGCAGATCCTAAGGTTTTTTATGCAAACATAAATAAATTAAACTCTACTGCTAGCCCATTCTGATCTAGTCTCTTACAACCATATCATACGCACCTAAATCAGATTCCTACGATGCTTCCTACTTGTTGTGGGGATAGAACCCTGTGCTGGCCATCACACAACATTATGGGACTTTTGGCAGAGGACCCACCCAATGGAGCCTGCACATACTTCCCATGTATGAAGGGAAAAGCGTCACCGAGAGGGAGCTATGTGCTAGGTGACAGATTTTCCCTGCTGGGTGGCTTTTGTAATGAGCCCCCTAGTTGTCCATTTTGTCTTCTTAACTAAACATTTTAGCTGAACTATATTTCTCTTTCCTCTTAATTTGTTAATTTCACTATTGTATCTATAAATCTGTGCCTACAATGCTAGTAGTTAGTCCCAGCTAGAGAAGATCTATTCAATTAATTTCTGACTGATGAATCAATAGATAGCTTAATATGATTGATTAAATGGCTCTCCTCTAGATGGAATTAACAATAGAATTTAAACCTGTGTGTGGTTGAGGTGGTAAAACCCATTCTTTCTCTCTCCACAGTTGAACCTCACTATTAGGCTTCTGATTTGCTCTCAGCATGAAAAAGGCATTCAATAATTTCCAGTGTTTGAGAGAACCGTGTGTGTGAGATTCTATAATTATTATTATTATGAAACAAAGCCAACATGAATTGTTTTATTACCAATTTCATGCATTTTGGTTAAGCAAGTAAATTACTAAATATAATTCCCATTAAATTTATTTATTTCAAACATTTGTGCCCCATCCTTCTCAACCCAGGGCAGCTTACAACGGCAACAATTCAATGCCACATCACACAAAAACACAATACAACATGACATAACAGAGTAGGTAAAAGCATTAGGTTAAATCCATTCAAAACATTATTATCGACCATATTGCCATATCCGAGTCTGATTCAGTGAGCAACGAACCAGTCCAAAGCCTGTCCATATTCTGTTCTAAAACTTTGTGATTGTTGTCAAGCCTGTTACCCAAATGCCTGGTCCCAAAACCATGTTCTGAGCTTCTTCCTAAAGGAAAGGAGGGATGGAGCTGACCTAATTTTGCTGGGGAGCATGTTCCACAGGTGGGGGGCCACCACCGAGAAGGCCCTGTCTCTCGTTCCTGCCAAATGCGTTTGTGAAGAAGGCGGGATTGAGAACAGAGCCTCCCCAGACCATCTTAAACTCAGAGGTGGGTCATAGAGGGAGATACATTTGAACAAGTAAGCTGGGCCAGATTTCCTCCTACATCAAACTTTTAAATAATTTACAATAACAACTGATTGTTACTTTGATTTAGCCCTAATAGTAATAAAAATCCACATGGTTGCTCTCTAGAACCAGAGGAAGACTAACTTTCCACAAGAGTGATCTTAACCAGTTGGATACATGTTAAAATATGTAAAAGTCCAGGCTGATATTAAGGGAAGGAAGGCTACTTTCATAAGAATTTGTCTACACTACTCTGTTAACTCAAACAACACTGTGCTAACTCTATTCTCTAACATAATGAAATTTATTATCTGGAGAGTGGTGGTAATGGCAATGAAAAATATATCCTCATCATCATCTCCTTGTATCATCATAAAAAATCTTATATTTTCATGGCATTCTTCTACAGTATCATATTAACATTTTTTGCTAATTATAAGTGAAACATTTGTGATGTTCAGTTAATATGCTTGGGCCTTATGAATTTAGCTTGATTATTCTGTACTCTTGGGTATTTAATAGATACAGCTGTGTTTTATTACTCTGACAATGACATCTGATATTCCCTTACTTATTATTTCAAAAATAAACATCTACTTATTATGCATTATTTACATATGATGAAACCTCATAATTAAATTGCAGCATAAAACTCACTGTTGTCCTTTTATGAACTTATGCTTCCTTTCCTAGACCACATGTGAATTTGGCCATTTTTACAATTTTCTGTTATTATATTCAAGGTTAAAAAAAAACTTAGAGATCAGAAATTCTTCTGATATTAAATAGGAATTAATTGGGGGGGGGGGTGTGAAAAAAGGAGTTCACATTAATCAATGCAGAAATAATAGTAATGTGTCAAAGGAAAACTTGTGTTTCACCATGTTTACTTTTTTATTATTATACATGCAACTCCATTGTCAATTTTACTTAAATTCAATTTTTTCAATCCAATCATGTCCCCAAAGTAGCTTACAAAGAATAAAAAATAGCAATGCCATCAAATAACATATTTTTAATAAAAACGGGAACAAGATAGCAGAAGTAAACACCTCCAGTTAAACAGAAAATTGTAACAACCAATAATATTATATATAATATATATTAAGATGATGTCTAAATCCTAATGGAACAAAATAAGCTGTTAGTCGGATGGAGTTCTTTACAGTGCTCTTTCTGATATCATCTTCCTCATTTCCGAGTGTTGGTTTAAGTCCATGAGGTTCCACATTCTATACCATTTAGGTTCTGAAAGTTCAGAAACATGTATTCAGCTGTTGGCTATTCTGGTAATGTATTATGGTGCTATATTCAAGATAGTAATTTGCATGTACCAGAGAATTATTATCTATTAATGGCGGCATCCCAAGAACATGACACTGAAACAGTAGCATGAGTAAGAATTGATAGGCCCTTGCCCTGAATCTTTTTCTAGGGATCTCCTGAAATCCTTGGAATGACTCATTCAAAACTGAAATGCCTGGTGTCTACCATTGCTTACTTGAGAAGAAGATGAGTTAATTGAATAAGCTCTGGAATCCCACACAAGAAGTAAATGGAAAACAACACATCTCACTCATTTTAATGCTTATATTTTCTGCAGCTGTAATATGCAAGGTTCTCCTGATGTCAGACTGGACTAGCAAGGCAGGAATACTTGTGCAATATTAGCTGATGCAGCCACTGTGGCCAGGCACACACACACGGAACTCCATGGCTGGTGAGATGGCAGCAACAAGGGGCCAAGTGCAGGGAAAGGCAGTGTTTTTCTGGATATGAAATCTGGTCAAAATGAACGTAATCCAGCATTCCTGACTGCCACAAAGCCCCAGAATACTCTGGCATTTCCTGTAATATCTGGATCAGCCTCTATCTTAGCCTAAACTGGGGGAAAGTTGGTATAAGGACAGAAAATCTTGGATACTTACTGGAAGTCCCCACACATCTGAGATGAGTTCACATTTTTATCCATTTAGATAACTCCTTAGAATCCATGCACTGATCTTCCTTAGTCAATTATTTTCCTTTGGATACCTAGTTTTCCTTGTTTATCTAACAGGGCATTTTCTTGTTATATTTTTCTTCAGTGCCTCTTTCACTTCCTTATTTCTCAGACAATAGATGAGTGGATTGACAGCTGGAGTGACCACGGCATAGAAGATGGAGACTATTTTGTTAAGGTTGAAAGGGTGAATTTTTCTAGGTCGAGCATACATGAAGACTGCTGAAGTAAAAAAGATGATGACCACTGTGAGGTGTGAAGCACATGTTGAGAAGACTTTCTTCTTTCCTTGGGCTGTAGGGATGTGTAAAATTGAAGTGATGATGAACAGGTAGGACACAATGGTTACAGAGAGTGGACCAAGGAGAATAACCAAGGCCAGAATGAAATCTACCAACTCGGCCCTTGACATATCAGTGCAGGAGAGGTTGAGAACTGGGGAGATATCACAAAAAAAGTGATTAATCACTCCAGGGCCACAAAAAGTCAGCCTGGAAATAAACATGACTTTGACAAAGGAGGTGGAGAAGCCACATACCCAAGAGAGCAAACCTAGCTGGAAACATAATCTATGTGTCATAATAGCTGAATAGCGAAGTGGGTTGCACACTGCTATGTATCGATCATATGCCATGACAGCTAGGAGAACACATTCAGTGCACATTAATGAGATGAAGAAGTAAAGCTGAGCCATGCAACTTTGGAAGGATATAGTCTTGCTCGGTGACCAGAAATCCACCAGCAGTTTGGGAAGTGTAACACTGATATACCAAATTTCCAAGAAAGACAAATTTCCAAGGAAAAAATACATAGGTTTATGAAGGTTCCTGTTATTTTTTACTAAGGAGATAATGATAAGATTCTCTATAACTGTTAGTATATATGTTAGAAAAAAAGTCATGAAAAGAAATAGCTGGAGCTCTAGTCCAGAGGGAAACCCCACAAGGATGAATTCAGAAATGATAGTGCTGTTTTCCATCTCCCGAAAAAATGGACCTATATGCAAGGAACAGATTGGAAATAATGATATTTAATAAATAAAATTTATAGCACAAATGTATAATCAGAAACTGGAACATTCACCTAATGTTAAAACTTTTAACAAATTAGAATTAATGGATTTTACTAATACAATATTAACTATGGCCCCTTCTACACTGCCATATAATTCAGATTATATGGGCCTGCACTGCCATATAATCCAATTCATAGCAGATTATCTGGATTTTATTTGGCAATGTAGAAGGGGCCTAGCTGCTTAATTCTGTAAAGAAATAACTTTATACACCCATAAGAGAATTTATAAATGTTTCCCTTTGACACAATAGACAATCATACTATACCAAAACATATTTTATTTTTTTCCCTCAGTTTTCCTCAGTTCATAATAGAGATATAATGGTCCTTCAAGAAAAGGGGCTGATGAAACACTTTGATAAAATATTAAACAAATATGATGGTTCTTGTCATGATTTTGAGAATTTATCTTTGGCACAAAATGTTGAAACCAAAGTGTATTTTCTTGTCTTGAGTATTAATAATTTGTTTTGCAAAACTTTGTTTTTTTCTTCCAAAAACATTATCACAACAGTGTTTTTTCCACAAATCCTCAAAATTGTGAAAAATAATCAAGATTTACACATAGACTACTGTAATCTTGCCCCAAGGAAGCAAGAATGAATTATGAAGATCTGCATCCTTAACTCACAAATGCCATGTTCTGTCCGTTACATGGATTCAAGTAGGTTGAGGAAACATACTAGCAATATCCCCACAACTACTAGTGTGTGTGTTTGTGTGTGTGTAAAAAACAATCGATGGCTGGATGATCCTTGTAAAAACCATTGGACATACAGAATCCAACAAGCCATATCTGAAAAGCCCAATACGTCTTGGTCACTTGAAAGCAATTTTTCCATTCTAGATATGGCTTTATATGATTTTTTAAAAATTTCAATACATACTGTTTCATTTTAAAAAAAATGTACCAATGCTTCAAGAGGTCAGATTTCACTGTTCCAATAGAAAAGAATAACTTGAAAAATAAACGTGATATGGGATTTCACTGTCTCTTTCTCTCTCGCACACAGGCACCCCTCCCAACAGATATGTGGCACATATTTCTACTGTCTCTTTAGAATTTCAAAAGGTGGAAACACTGAGGATGGTATCAGGAAGCCTGGCCAATGTGAACATCTCTATGGCCATCTCATACATTCAGTTTTTCTATACAAACATCAAGTTGTGGTTTCATTTAAGTTCTACTAAAATCAGTGAAAAGTTAACCATGATTTTCATCTCTGCATTGTTTTCAGCAAGAAACAAAATGCAACTGACTTACTCTAGATCCATCTTATTATATCCTTAATCACTGTATGTCAGTGCAGTTCTGGAAATAGAAATATTTACCTTTCAGAAAATTGTTAGTATTTTTAAAAAAAATCTAATTCACATATGCTATTTTCAAAATATACACATATATCTATGCATGTACATTCCACACTAGCTCTTTGTATGTACTTGCCACTACTTTTACCTTTGCTTCCATTTATATTCTCATGAACAATACAGATTTTCTATTAATCACTATTACTTCAATCCTTACGAAAGTTGGCTATAACATAAATGAATACAGAAGCTCTGATGACTTCTCAACTTACATTAGCTTGGCAGTACTGCTTATAGATTTTCAGATGTTGCTGGTTTGAAAATCTGATCAATGTGTCTGATCACATGAAATATTTTCAAAGTGCCCGAGGCTTTTCATAGTCTGAGATTATACCATGGTGATTTCTTTGCTTAGAATAATGTCCCTTGGTCTTTTGAGAGCTCACTCATGAGTGGATGTCTTGATTTCTACTTAATGAGCCCCAGGTCCCCATGATCCCTCAGAGACTAGAGAGAGCTGAACAAGCAATGTCTTGTATAGTGTATGGAGTACAGTAGGCCCTTGATATCCACTGGGATTTGGTTCCATGATGCTAGCCCCCCTATCCAGATAGATACCAACATTTGTGTATGCTCAATACATAATTGTATAGCAAAATGGCAAAATCAAGGTTTGCTTTTTGATTTTTTTTTTAAAAAAATCAAATCATGGTATATTCACTATTAATTAAACTATGGCATAGTATAATGGTAAAAATAGGCAAGAAGGTCACATTCTCATTATATAGCTAACACACATACATGCATGGACACAATTTGGGGACCATCATTATGAAAATATGATAATACCTTACATTTATCAAAGGAAGATGAGTAATTTCTTCAACATAGTTCGCAATGATGGGCTCTTCCAGACAGGCCCTATATCCCATGATCTGATCCCAGGTTTTCTGTTTATTCCAGATTATTTGGCAGTGCAGACTCATATAATCCAGTTTAAAGCAGAAAATTAGGGATTAGACCCTGGAATATAGGGCTTGTCTGGAAGGGCCCTTTATTTGTAACTGAACTTATGCACAGGAAGAACTGTAAAATGACCTTCTCTACTCATTGCCATGAAGTCAACACCTACTGTCCTGTAATCCTTTTCCTGCAAAACATTTTTATGCAGAAATGCATTTAGCACAGAAACATGCATATTTCTGGCAATTCGTTTTCACAGTTTTTTTTATACAAAATACATTCCCAGAAATATAAGTGATTTATTTGCTAATAATTTTTTTTAAAAAAAAAAACAACCAAATAATTAATTTCACAATGAAACCCATGTGCTATTTCTGGGAAACTGTGGGTAGGTTTGTATAAGGGAAAAAAATCAGTGTTAATCCAGCTTCCACTCCATGCATTCCTGTGCAGCTCGATATCTAAAAACAGAAATGCCTAAACACTAGGCCTGTGCGGTTTCGTTCGTTAATTCGTTAATTCGTTAAACATTCGTTAATTTTCGCATATACGAAACGACAACAAAACATATTTTCAAACCCGGAAGGGTTTTTAAATATCGAAACGGCAACCCCCACAGTTTTAACGAGCTTTCGCCCGTTTCGTAAATGGGGCGGGCGGGGCGAAGGGGCGGCGCGAGCGCGCACCCAGTGAGCCAAGCCCCGACCCTGCCTGTTGGGCGCGAGCGCAACCGGCTCCCGATTGACTAACTGCCCGATTCACAGAATGGTATTATACGTACACTCATAGGCGCATGGAGACAGAGCCGGCGCTGCAGGAATCCCCTCCCCGGCTCCTGCGCTCCGGCTCCGGCTCCTGCGCCCTCCTCCTCCTCCTCCTCCTCCTCCTCCTCCTGGCACTTCCTGCAACACAGCTGCGGAGGCCGGTTGTCTCTTTAAGGCGCCTCTCTCTCCCAGCAACACAGCTGGGAGAGAGAGGCGCCTTAAAGAGACAACCGGCCTCCGCAGCTGTGTTGCAGGAAGTGCCAGGAGGAGGAGGAGGAGGAGGAGGAGGAGGAGGGCGCAGGAGCCGGAGCCGGAGCGCAGGAGCCGGGGAGGGGATTCCTGCAGCGCCGGCTCTGTCTCCATGCGCCTATGAGTGTACGTATAATACCATTCTGTGAATCGGGCAGTTAGTCAAGAGATGGGTCTGACTAACTGCCCGATTCACAGAATGGTATTATACGTACACTGAGCTCATAGGCGCATGGAGACAGAGCCGGCGCTGCAGGAATCCCCTCCCCGGCTCCTGCGCTCCGGCTCCGGCTCCTGCGCCCTCCTCCTCCTCCTCCTCCTCCTCCTCCTGGCACTTCCTGCAACACAGCTGCGGAGGCCGGTTGTCTCTTTAAGGCGCCTCTCTCCCAGCACACAGCTGGGAGAGAGAGGCGCCTTAAAGAGACAACCGGCCTCCGCAGCTGTGTTGCAGGAAGTGCCAGGAGGAGGAGGAGGAGGGCGCAGGAGCCGGAGCCGGAGCGCAGGAGCCGGAGCGCAGGAGCCGGGGAGGGGATTCCTGCAGCGCCGGCTCTGTCTCCATGCGCCTATGAGCTCAGTGTACGTATAATACCATTCTGTGAATCGGGCAGTTAGTCAGACCCATCTCTTCTGATGACAAATGTCACACCTATCACATAGGAGTCCTTCCCATGTAAGCAACATCTGACCGAATTCATTCTTCTATACAACTGGGAAAGATACAGGAGTTCTGCTCCTAATAAAGATGGGAATAATATGTGAAAATATTCTAAAATGCAAAAGAATGTTTACTATCAAGTAACCCTGATGAAATGAATCCTGGATTGATAAGAAACTTTGCAGTTATACCCTTAACGGATCGACCCCGCGCCAATAACGAAGCTTGTTTTACGCATGCGCGGGGGTCCGCCATCTTTACAAAATGTTTTGTAAATATTTACGAAATTTCGTAAATACCAAAACTTTTTTTGGGAAAATTTTGTAATTATTTTAAATATCGAAACAAAAAAACACCCCAATTACAAATCGATTTTAGAAACAAATTTTTTCTTGATCAAACAGGCCTACTAAACACCTTAGGAGGGTATTTACCAGAGCTCGTTTTGAACAGCTGGATACAATGGACAAGCACGGAAGGTTTAATCAAGTCCCATACAACGAACAATTTTGTATTTGTGGAGCACCAGAGATGGAGGATATCATACATGTATTGTTCAACTGTGAGCTGTATAAGAAAGAGAGAGACCATTGCCTTGGACCATACATTATTCATAAAACACACTGGGACCCATATATTAAAACCTCATTTTTGTTGGCCGGACAGAACCCTAAAATAACACACAAAACAGCCCTTTTTCTATTAAAAGCAACACAGCTGAGAATTGCACATTTAGAATCAATTGGGGTAAACTGTGGAGGTGACGCAGACATCTGACCTGAACGAGATCTCGTTAACAGCTTGTTTAACTCCTTTTATACCGAGGGTTGTATGTTGTATGTATGACTATGTATGACTATGTGTTAATTGTGTTATGTGTTAAATGTTTTGATACGGCCAATAGGCCAATCAATAAAATGTATCTATCTATCCATTCCTGTGCAGAACAACTACATGGAACACTTTTGGAAAGTTCAAAAATCTTGAAAAAAGTACGGAAATATTTGTTCTTCTCTGCAGGATGAATTTGACTGAATTTATTCATAAATCACATGCAAGGATGAAATAGTAAAAACTTAATAGTCTTAGGGCATCAGCATACCCTTCACCTCCCTGCATATGTGACATTTCCCTTAGTAAATGCCAGTTATTGGCAAGCTGGCAAAGCAGAGAGAGAGAGAGAGAGAGAGACTTGGTAAATGAGGTCAGGTAAAAGCTTGATAATTAAGATCTGTTAAAAATTCTTGACTGCTGTTTAGATACTGGATTACTGGTAATCCAGTAAACCCCCCCCCCCTTAAAAAAAACCCACCTCATCTTGCTGATTTGGTTGCTTTCCAGATTTTTACTTTTTCCTCCAGAGATGATGGTTGAAGCATAGAATGAATCTCTTTCTGCTCTATCTTGCATAAGATCTTGAGAACTTGATATAAGTTTAGGATTCAAGAGAATAACATCAATTGTGTGTGTGTACTGCTTTACAGTTCCTCCAAACTTTCAATGAATACATAGATTTTGAAGAGATATTTTAACTAATTCTGATTTAATATTTTGATTTGTCTTGGTTGATCAAACAAGAAGACTATATTTACATATTTTAAATATTTGTATGTTGAGCATACACTATATATCACAATGATAAGGTGAGAAAGAGATACTCTGTGCTACATCTTTGTTTCTCTGCTTGTTCATCCCAGAAACTCTGTGAAAGCCTTAGATGTGTATTCCTGCATGATACGGAGTTAGATTAGGTAGCCTTCTATCATTTTATTATTTGTAAACTGAGAATATCTTCTCTGGAAACTGCAATATGATTTAAACAATTATTGAGAGAATATCTGTGTTGATTTTTCTACTTCTTTTTTAGAATGATCTAGATGTTCCCATGGCATAGTACAGAAATTGATTTAACAAATCCCTCAGATTCAATCATGCCCATGAGAACAAAGGCTGTTCTGTGGTATAAGATCCACTAGTAGAAAACAAGTCAGTTAAGAAGATGTTAGATGTATTTTTTCAAAGACTCAGAATTGATGAGACATACACTGAAACATCGTCTCAATGGGTGTGGTAAGTGTTTAGGAAATTGGAATATATTTCTACTCTGTAATCATGAGAAAAGGAAATATTCATTTATCTGCCTATCCATCTTTCTGAGGGGAAAAAAACAATTGAAAAATGTGATAAATCTACTTATCCATCAGAATTTCATAATTTCTCTCTTAAGTGTTTCTAAAATGCATATATTTTCAAACTTTATGATCAGGTTAGTACAGATCAATGTAAGGTTGTGTCTGGAAATGGGAAAAGTGTGGATTCACATCACTTTCACCAAAATTTGAATGTGTGGCCTTGTGTAAGCAATTGTTATACAATCAGATGGGTATATATTATTAAAACTGCCCTTTTATTAATTACCTACAATTGGATTAATGAGTGACTTTCACTTCTGATTTCTATGTATGTTCCAGTCAATTACTAGACTTCTGTTATATATAAATATAAATATAAATATTCAGCAGCAATATTGCCTTTATTTATTTTAAAGATACATTATATGGGTTGTAGATCATGATATATTTTCATTGCACTGCCTCACAATATTTTTTCGTTGTTCTTTTTCTCTAGGAAACTTCTTTGATGAATGAAAGTATTATCACTGAATTCATCCTCCTGGGGTTTGGAAACCATTCTGAACTGCAGATTCTCTTTTTCTTGTTGTTTTTAACTATCTATATGTTGGCCATGGTTGGAAATCTCCTTATTGTCCTGTTGGTTGTGAGTGATAGGCAACTTCACATACCCATGTATTTCTTCTTGGGGAATCTGTCCTGTTTAGAGATCTGCTATTCCTCAACCATTGTGCCCAGAATGCTGGCCAACTTTCTAACAGGAAATAGAAATATTTCTTTCTCTGGATGCTTTGTGCAATTATATTGCTTTGGCTTTCTCGTGATTGCAGAGACTTGTGTATTATCTGTGATGTCTTATGATCGGTATTTAGCTATTTGCAAACCACTGCAATACCAGCTCCATATGGAAAGCAGGATCTGTATCTCTTTGGCAGCTGGGTCTTGGATAAGTGGTTGTTTCTCAGCATCTGTAGTGGTAATATGGATGGCACAGTTAACTTATTGTGGCTTCAATGGAATTGACCATTTCTTTTGCGACTTCATACCTCTGAGTCAGCTGATCTGTGGTGATGCTTTGTTGTTTATGGAGGTTGCTTTCTTGTTCTCTTGTCTCTTCACTCTGCCATTATTCATATTGACTGTAACATCTTACATTTGCATCATATCAGCCATTCTGAAAATTCCTTCATCCTCTGGGAGAAAAAAAGCTTTTTCTACCTGCTCCTCTCATCTTATTGTGGTCACCATTTTCTATGGGTCCTTAATGGTTGTTTACCTTCTACCAGATGACCCCAAAATGAGAAGCTTAACCAAAGTTTTCTCGGTTTTCTACACCATCTTTACTCCAATGGTCAACCCTCTTATTTATAGTTTAAGGAACAAAGAAGTGAAAGAGGCCTTGAGAAAATTTATCCACAAGTTCATGTTGCAGCAAAGAATTTAAGACATCATACTAGTGATTTATAGGTTGAGCTCATCTAGATGCATTTAATATAGATCTTATGACTCTGAAATTTTATAGCCAACAGCATGGTGGAACAAAGATCCAAATATCATGAAGGAGAAGCATATTGAAGATTAAGATATTAAGATATTTGATATATATATATAATTATTTTTCTGCCAAGATGCTTACCTGCTGGCAAAAGGCAGCAGAGAGGAGGCTAAAGTAACACCTCCTAGCAGAGCCTGGGTATAGCCATCAGGAGATCCCCTTTCTCACCCATAGGCATGCCTATGAAGGTAATTAGAGAGCAATGCCCCTTTATAAAATATGTAAGAAGCAAGAAAATTGTTTTTAAACAACAATAGTCTCCAAACAATGTTTTAGGAATTACAAAATGGATTTCCTAAAAATAACATATGTGATATACCTTTCTATGACAATACCACATAGGTTCCTCTAAAATTTTGGATGATGACTCAATTCACCAACATTCTGCCCCCTTGTGTTACAGCAAAAGATAAGAACTTAACACATTATGTTATTAAGTCTATGGTCACATTCATGATCCTCAGAATATACTGTTTTTATCCCTAACCTAATTCTGCCATTGATAGCATAATCTCTGGCATAGCTCAGATGATGTCAAGGGACATGACCATACTACTGAATGCCCCTTTACATCATATCTGCCCTTGCCACCATGTCAGAGTTGACATTACAGTGGGGGACAAGGTTTTGTTCAGATCCTATTTTCATCTGGGAAAATGGGAAGTAAACTAAATTACTGCTGCAAAAGTTTTTTGTCCTGTGACAAGCAAAGCTCTCAGCTAAAATCTTTCAGAAAAGGATAAATGGAAAACCTTTGTTTTATCTAATCTCTATAAAAGGTAAAAGGGGAGGAGCTAATCTCTCCCTTCTCTTTTATCAAAAGGAAAAGTGGTGGTGGTGATGGAGATTTCCGTGGATTGGATCTGTGGGAAGAAATGAATTTTTGATGAGAAGTGTATTTCCTGGATCTTTTGTAGCCTGATTGGTAGGCCAAATTAAAGCCGGGGATTGGTGATTCTCTGCCCTACTCCATAAAGTACTCATTTAAGCTCAGCATTGTGTAGTGGTCATTGTCATTGTCTCTTTGAATAATGAAGTCACATCCATGTTACAATAGAAAGTTATGCTGTGATTACTTTATTGGTTGATTTATTAGTTGTGCTTCATTTTGATCAGTTGTTTTGATTGTTGAATTACACTATGCACATGAAGGCTGAAATCCTACATTGGAGGGCAGCTCTACCTCTACAGTTTTGTGTCCTCTATCCATGCACCACTGTATTTGACTGCTGTGAAGCCTAAGGAGATGTTGTTCAGTTATCAAACCAATAGAGAATGGTTTGCAACAAAGACACAAAAAGATCATTTGGCGTTACTGTGTTTATTAATTAATGCAACAAAAATGCCAGTTATTACAATTTCCAGTACATTCTTTATATAAATGTGAAATGAACACTTATGAAAATATAAACATTTTCTCTAAGATCAAACCATCCAAAGCTTGCTCTCTAGAAATAGATTGTATCAACAACAAAAAAAGTGTGATTTTAGTAAGGATGATTTCAGTAAGGGTCTTATGTAGATTCTCAAAAGGAGGAAAAAGTAGGAGGTGGGAAGCAGCATGGCGCTGTGGAGCCCCTCACTATCACCCACAGAGCTCCAAGGGGTCCATGGAGCACAGTTTGAGAACTCCTGTCCTAGTGAAATGTCATGTTCTGAACATGAAAGTTCATGGATTTCATTTCTTTTTGAAAGTTGCTTTGTTATAGAAGGTTTCTAGTAAGGCAATTTCATTCATATCTTCTCAGAAATAAATTACATTGGGCTTTCTATGGATTACTCACATGCAAATGAGTATAGAATTCCAAATGTTGCACCCACCAGCTGTGAAATAAATGAAACAATATTTAAATAAAATGCAATACTCATCTTAAATTCTGTACTACTCCTTTTCAGCAGACAAGGAGCTCTGAACATCACAAATTTTGTGTTCTCAATGTAGACAGTGATAAACAATGAATTGTATGAGAACACAATGAATAATTATCGTATATGAAAACAATATACAGTTTCATCCTCCTCAACTATTCAATTTTTATAATGGCCACATCAATCACATAATGTAGAGTTGAAAAGGCCAAGAACTGTAAAACCCTTTAACTACAAAATACATATATGAATCTAAACAAGTGTTCCTTTTCTTGGAGAACACTGCCTACTCAATATATTCCTGAGTCCACTGAGGATAGTTCTAATCTTTCTTCGAAGTGTGATTCCAGGATGTTTAATTCATCATGTTTGATCCTATATCACCAACATCTCACAATTTCATCTTCTCCCCTATCTTGGCATTGCAACCCCCAACTGAGATTTGAGGAAATGTGAAATGACATCAGCATTACTCTCTTAATCACAGGACACAGTGACAATATGCAATTGGAAAGACCCCTCAGGGACCTGGCACAATAGCTTGTTCTAAGGAAACCCAGATATCATTTCCCTATATCCTGATCTCCAGAACCCCAAGAATGCTATGACTGGGGTGCTACCAGCCTGAAAAGCAAAGTTTTTGGGGCTAACATTTAGTTATTCGTGTCTTTAAATATGAAGTCCCAGCAGTTACGAAATTGGAAATCAATTTTATGATCTTCTAACTGCTGATTTGTGATTCATGCTGTGGTTTTCACTGCTAACTTGAGGTTACTGGTTTTATGTTGTGTATTTTTGTTGCTTATCCAGTAGATGTCAGCATGAAACATGATGTTTGAGAAAAGTTAAAAGACACCACCACCCAACTTGTACCCAGCCTAACAGCCCTACTGGAATCAATTCAATACAGGACATTTTAAAAATGAAAAAAAAATGTGGATACTTTAACATTAGCATGTATAATCTGTTGACTTGTTGTGATCCCATTGGCTTTAAAGGGTTTTTATAGGCAAGAAATATTCATAGGTGGTTTTGCCAATTCTTTCTTCTTAAATGTAGCCTACAGCATCTGATATTTGTTGGTAGTTGGTAGTATTAGCCAGGGTTGACCCTTCTTAAATTCCAAAATCAGATGGGATCTGGTGTGTTAAACATGCATCCTTCAAAATACGCAAAAGTTGAACATGGGTGTTTTACACAGAAAACAGAATATTATGTGCAGAAAAACATGCTCTCCATAAAAAATAATATTTCAACCTAGAAATATTAATTCATGTGCAGAAAATGCTGTATTCTGTACAGAAAGTGTTGTTTTGAATAAGTGTGAATTTTGAGCCTGATGTGCAAAGCTTTTTATTTGTCCTGGATTCTTCTAATTAGCATTTCACAACATTCAAAATTACATGTTTCTCTAAATTTAAGAATAATTATTCTTAAATTCCCTACTTAAAGATTAGTCTGCAAATCAATTAAACACTGCAAAATTTCCTTTTCCCTACATGAGATGATTTAATTTCCAAAAACTCAGGCTGGATCTACATTGCCATATACTGTTTTTTATCAATGGCATTGAATTGTTGCTGACACTTTGAACCACCCTGAGTCCCCTTCTGTGTTGAGAATGCCAATAATAATAATAATAATAATAATAATAATAATAATAATAATCCAGTTCAAAGTAGAGAGTCTGGATTTTATATGGCAATGTAGATGGGGCCTCAATCTCAGGTTTGAAAAATATCTGGTGTAACGAAATGTCCTACCTTGCAAGACCAGTGTTAGCTCTGTATAGGCCCAATAGCTTAGCATCCATTTTGTAAGGGAGCTAAGAGGCAGCCATCTTGGGTAAAGACATTTCCAAGAGGGGGCGGAGCCAGAAGGCAGCCTGGGGAACATGTGGAAAGCTGGGAGTCCTAAATGATAAGTGGGTGGAGCTTGGTCAAGAAGGGAAAAAAAGGAGCCAGGTTTTGTGAAATTTGACAGTTAGGAAAAGTCAGTTGGTGGGAGACAATTAAAGAAAGTGGTTGGATTTTTTGAAGCCAGGAGTGAGTTAAGGAAAGTGAATGAGCAGTGGAGGAGAAATAGTTTGATAGTGGTTTTTTTAGATAAGACCCTGGAATTGGGCTGTTTGAAGATTAGGAACTAGTTAGTAGAGGACTAGTAGTTTCCTGTGAACTTTGAAAGGTTATTTGGAACCTGAAGGTTTAAATTATTGAACTATTTGAAGTAACCATTAAGCTCTATACCATTCTGCAACCATTAAGATTCAATGTCTGTTCTCATAAAACAAATAAACATCTTTCTTTGTTGTTAATAAACCAGTGCCTCTGTGTGCCTCTCTTACAAAGGATCCCCATACACAAGACTGGGGAAGCGCATTCTAATATTGGTGGCAGCACTACTTAAAAGACTTTGGTGTTTATACCCTTTGTGCTCTGGGTCCTGAGTTCAAATCCATACTTCAGCATAATCCAGTTAAACCTCAAATAATCCTTTCTAATTTTGGTGGTAGCCTAATCAATCCTCAGTGCCTCTAAGGAATTGTTTCCTCTGCCCTGTGTTTAAAAGGAAATGCCATTACATTCTGGTGACAGTGGTCAGGGAGACCAAATAAAGGATTCTCCCTGCCTGAAGATTTTTGGGTTTGCCCTGTTTATAAAAACAACAATCTTTTACAAGGGAAAAAGTGATCTTTCAATTAATCTTTATTGTGCTGCAAACAGTTTGACAAACTTTTCTTTAACACTCAGTGTGGAAAAAGGGAGAACAATCCAATGAGATATAATACCTTTAAATAAATACATTTTCTTTACTTTTTTCAAATTTATACATACAAGAAGATATAATTATCATCATCATCATCATCATCATCATCATCATCTTTATTTGTACCCCATCACCATCTCCCCAAAGGGGACTCAGGGCAGCTAACATGAGGCCAAGCCCAAAATTACAGTACAGCAAAATAAATTACAAAGAAGCAGAAAATACCATCAAAATAGATACATGAAATAACAAAA